CAATAATAATTTATAAATTATCAAGGGTGCATGGGGGAGAGGCGAGGAGGAAGGGAGGGGGAGGGGAAAAAAGGAAAATGAGCTGACTCCGGGAACCCAAGAGGAAAGCGAATTTTGGGAATAATGAGGGCAACAAATGTATAGATGTGCTTTACACAATTGATCTATGTATTGTGATGCATTGTATGAGCCCCAATAAATTGATTTTTTAAAAAAAGTAAAACATCAAAAAAAAAAAGAAATTTGAAATCCTGTTCTACACTCCCCATCCCTCACCCCACACCTTTGATCAGGATTCTTCTGTAGGATCTTTGATCAAAAGACTCAGCAGTGGTGCCTGGGCACCCACCCAGTTCTTCTGGTCTCATGATAAGGAGACAATCAGCCACACTTTATTTCTTCCCCCTTCCTCTGCTGCCCCAGGTGAGGCACCAATCGTTGTGTCTTGGTGGCCAGCCTGCAAGCTTTTAAGTCCCTGGGTACTATTCAACAACCTGGAGGTAGAACAGACACACTAAAAGAATCAAGCCAATTAACTGGGATGTCCTTGAAACCATGGCCTTAAAAATTCCAAATTAAGGACCCAAGTCCCATGAGGTGTTTGGTTACATGCAAGCTCTTCCATGCTTGGCTGGGGTGGGGTCGGGGGGCTTAGATTGCCAGGCCTTTCTTCTGAGGTGCCTCTGGATAGATTTGTACCTCCAACTTTTAGGCAAGCATGTGAAATGACCATTTGGACCACCCAGCAACTTCACTCACGTTGTTAACCTGATTCTTAACCAAGAAGGTCCAGAGCCTCTGTGAGGCCTGTGTCTAAGCCTCTTGACAGACCATGTGTCATCTTTCTCCTTTCCCACAGCATCAACTCCATCGCCAGGGAGACAGCCTGCTCTCAAAACGCAGAGCAGTCAGGACCACTCTGGAATAGTGTGTTTTCACCCTAGGCTGACGAAGCCAGCAGTTGTAGACTGGAGAAATTCGACATTGTCTTTCTCATCAGGACAGAGTATGAGGAGTTCCTTCTTTAGGACAGTAATGTCAGACCAAGCTTAAATGATCCTGTTGGTTTCTTGCTAATTCAGGAACATTAGAGAGAGACACCCCCCACACCCCCAGATCTGGCTTCTAATAGCAGCTATTGTCTCTTTCAGCAGAATCACTAAGATGGACATAGAAGACTGCAATGGCTGCTCCTATATGTCCGGTATGCCCTCTTGTGTGTTCTGTTTGTCAGGGACTGGGAGTAGGACAGGAGGCTTGAACATAGGCATAGGACCTTTAGCTGCCTGAGGTACACCTCTGACACCCATGCTTGCTCGTACTTGATAATATGTGCTGATTGTTGTGGTTTTATGTTCCTTAAATAGTGATTTTCTTCCCCAGATTTCTTGGGTAAGAGGGGAGGGAGAAGGGACTAGGCGGGGACTATGAGCGGACACGGTCAGAGAGAAGAATGTGGAGACAGATTGGGGGAAAGAGTTGGTCCCTCTTCTGTGCTGTGAGGACACCAGCCAAGCATGAGACTCTGTCCCATCCAGGCAGAGAGCGAAGTTGACATTCGAGCCTCAGAGATCTGCAGGAGCCCAGGCTACGTCACTGAGTGAAGTGGGTTAGGGAGTAAGCAGAAAAAGATTAGTGGGGGCTGCCTAAGCCTCCCTCAAGGGGATACAAGCTATTCAGCTGCCACCAGTCACAGCTGTGCTGGAATGTGCATCCAGTGTGACCCAAACCCCCAGTTACTCAGAAGAAAATGTGTTCAGACAGAGGTAAAAATGTCCTGTGATCATACTCACAGGTGAGGGCATGTGACATCCTCTAACTTCCCAAAGAGAAGTGGAAAATCAGGATCAACAGCCCAAAGCTGATTCCTATAAGGGAAGGTGAGACAAACCTCCATTCTCCGACCTTTATACCAATTCATTCACCTCCTGTGAGATGTCCCTCTCTACTTCTTTGCTGTATTTGATAATTCATTGCAGTGGCCAAAAAAACTCACTGATCATACTCACAGTTGTGGGGTTTATTGGGGGAAGTAATAGGTTATGATTCAGAATCAAGAATGACGTGGGATATAGTTCTTTGGTCAGGATAGCTTCTCAGCTGTCCACACAGGCAAGTTCCTCCCTGACTCTCAGTCTTTTGGCCCCTTGACCCTTGGGCCTCTTAGGCTGGCACAGCCTCGGTCAGGCAAATGTTACAGAGCTCTTTAGCACTGCCATTAAGTGCCCTGGGTGCACCCCACTGCCATCAAGCCTTGGCCCTAAGGTGTATAATGAGTCAGGGAACTTAGATCCACCAAGTGCCTGGGGCATCGCACTCCTTCAGCAGGACTCCTCACCAAAGTTGCTTCCCTTTCTCAGTCCATGCCTGGGAAGCCCACTGTGTGTCGCCTGCTGGTAACCTGATTCTGCTGCCTCTGCGGATTCACCACTTCTCTGCTTCTGCTTCTTACCATCTTGCTCTGTCTCTGGTGTTAGCGCTCTCTCTGAAGCCTGGGTATAGGAAGTTCTCAGCACAAGGATTCCAGGTCTAATGGCTACATGCCACCCCCTAGCTCTTCGTTCTTCATGCTGGTGAGATCTCTTCCTGCCTCTCTTAGGGCTTATTTTAAGGCCAGGAGGATGGCCAAACTGACCGATTCCCTCTTGAGGGTTCCAGACACCTTATTATCTATGGGGTTCAATCGCCTCAGTGAGCCACACACACTTTTTGCACAGCCTCACGCAATCATTTGGTGGGAATGACAAGACCATGTCAAGAAAGGCCATTTTAAAAAGTGATCCATCGTACTGCAATAGATGCGTTTAAGTTTCAAGGTTTTTATTTGGAAGGTCGCCATTTTAAACTGCTCTTACTCAAAACCAAACTCACTCTGACTCAGTGAACCTATAGGAGAGGGTAAAACTGCTTGTATATTTCTGGGACTATAACTCTTTACTGGAGTAGAAAGCCTCATTTTTCTCCCACAGAGTGGCTGGTGGTTTCAAACTGATGAGCTTGCGGTTAGCAGCCCACCGTGTAACCACCAGGACTCCTTAAAATGCTCAGTGTTTTAATAAATATTCCATACAGTCAGCCAAACTTATCCATGGCTGGATTCAGCCTGTGGGCCACCAGTTTGTACTGTTGAAATCGGCATCAAACTCAAAGCTCATTGTCACCCAGTCAATTCCAACTCATAACGACCAGATAGGACAGGGTGGAACTGCCCTGATGGGCCTCAAACTATAACTCTTTACAGGAGTAGAAAGCCTCATCTTTCTCCCTCGGAGCTGCTGGTGGTTTTAAACGGCTGACTTTGCAGTTAGCAGCCCAAAACCTAACAACAGCACATAGAGAACCTTCTTCTCATTTCCCCCAATCCTTCTCAGTGATCCTAACATGTTTTGCCCCTGTCAGATCCCCTGATTGAAACAAGGCATCTTTCCTTGCTTTGAATGGCTTTGAGAGATGTGGAAGTAATCAGGAACCTCCTCAGACTTAACCAGATGGAAAGAAATTAGGGACTGTCCCAGGCTTGTTTCTGAAGGCAGGTTTGTCTCTAAGACAGAAATCTTACTTGGGGGACAGTTTGGCAGGGGGTGTTGACCATTAGAAAGCCAGGACAAGAGATGATAGGTCAGGGAAGCCAGGACTGGGTTTGGGGCAGGAAGACTAGCCCCCACTAGAATGCTAAGCACCACTGTGGAAATTATCAATCGCTTCACTTTTTACTCGAAAGTGGGACCAATCGAGGAATGATTGGCATGAGCTGAGGGAGGCAGTACAATGGGTCAGAAAAGCGAGAGAACCCAGGCCAACTACTGGGTCATGGGAGGTAAGGGAGGTTCTGAGTCTGACCCTTTTCTCACTCAAAGAGGGAAGGGGAAGGAGTCTTTAACTTTCCACAAAGATTCCCTCTTCATCCCAGCCCCTCTCTTTCCAGGGACGCTGAGCTGCTCAAACCTAACTCTTGGCAGGCTTTGCCTCAAGTTTTCTGGGACTGTGAACTGTTTAAGAGAACTTTAGTAGAAAGGGCTCCAGGGGTAGGCAGCCCAAAGTGTCATGGCCCTTCCCACCCCCAAATTCTTGGAATCCGAACATCTCCATCTGGAAGTGGGTCAGCCTGTCAGTGAGCAGCAACTCTGGATGGGAAGGAGCTGAGGCCTTGTCCTGATAGAGGGCGGATTCATTCATCCTGGGCTGTCCCACTGGGGCCCCAGGGGCACAGGACAGGGGACAGCCCGGGAGTCGGGATAAGGATCTGAAAGGGCTCTGAGCCACCCAGTGTGCACACTGTGGGAGATCCAACAGTGGTGGGCCCTCACAGCTGGGCAGGAGGAGGCTGCTGCTCCCCAGATCTGAGAGGAGCAGGACCTCCCTCCAGGCAGGAGGAGGAGGGAAAGGAGTGCCTGAGTTTGCTAGGGGAGAGGCTTTTTGCTGCTCTGAGCCTCAAAGCTGCCCTGTGTCCTGGGCCCCATGACCTCTGGGGCCTTGGCTTCCCCAGCTGGCAGAGGATTGGGCCTTCCCCGAATCCCCCCTTTCTCCCTCCCCTGCTGCGGGGCCATCCATCTCTCTCTCTTGCACACACTCGCCTCTCTCAAGCATTTGTTGTGCAGTTCTTCTTTGTCTGCTGGGCACAAGGGCAGTGGCATCTGCCTCCCCCCTCCCTGTGCACACCCTTACTCCCCCACCCCTTCACTGGCTGGGGAAAGGGATCCTCTAGCTTGGCGCCCCCCGTGCACACATACACACAGACACACAGATACATGCTCTCCAGCCCCCTCCCCAAGCATATCCAAGCTCCTGGCTGGCTCGCTCCCGCGCTCGCTCTCTCACACACACACTCACACACACACACACACTCACACTCACACATACACCCTGGGCTTAGCTCTTCTTGCTGGCTGCAGCCGTGGGCCCCTGCTCACCGTGCGCTGCCGCTGCCTGCGACATGACGGCGGTTCCCCTCACTTCCAGGAATCCACGCTTCCTGGAAGGTGAGTGGCTGGGCTCACCCCTGCCTGCCACCGAGACGCAGACATGCACACACCACCCGCACTCCCTCGCTGTTTCCAAGGCGGCGGCGGCCGTGCTCGCACCCCAGGGTCTCACCACCACCGGCAAGGGAAGGATAATGTAAGTTCAGGCAGAAGGCGGCTAGTGGAGGGGGGCAGGGGGGGTGCCGGGGCTAGGGAACCAATTTGGTAACAACTCCCAAGCCCAAGGAGAGGGAGAGGATGGGGTGTGTGTGTGTGTGTGTGTGTGTGTGTCAGGGGGGAGGGGGCGTTCCTCCTTATACTTGCGGAGGATGAGAAAGGGTGTTTGGCGTTGCTAAGCAAAGCCGGTGACTTGGACAGTGGAAGCTACTGGTGACATCTTGATTAGGCCTTAGGGACAGATGCAAAGCTGCCTGGGGTGAAATGCTGAGACAGGCCTGGTGGGAAGGGGCAGCAAAGAGAACCGAGGAGCTTTGGCAGCAGCCGCCTCATCCTGGATCCGAGATCTAAGGGGCCTCGGCGCCCCCTCCCCAACAGAGCTGGGGATGGGCGGCTTTCTTTGCTCCTGTGCCTACTGCCCCTGCCTAACAGGCTAGCATCCTGCCATCCCAGAGCCCATGGTGAAGAAAGGGCAGGCAGGCAGTTAGGCTGAGGTTCCTTGCAGAGAAGTGTGGATGTCCAGGGCTTTCTCCCACCTCGTGGACAGTCCCCAGAGGTAGCCACTCTTTGAAGGGACCGAGGAAAGGAGGGCTAGTCTCCAACCTGTGCGATGAATGTCGCTCGTGGACTGTCACCCCGGCTCCTCTCTCTCTCTCCCTTCTGCTCTTCTGCCGCTGTTACCCACCTCCCAGCTCCCCTGATAGGAACCTCATGATTTGGTTTTGCCCTCTAGGGATCTGGCCAATCTATGATGACTTTGACCACGAAAATGCCTCAGATCTGACAACAACCTTAATTCTTGGCTTTGCCAGTCTGGGATTTCTTGGGAGTCACGGGCATTTGAAATTCCCTCACTGGGGTTTCTAGGTCCCAGAGAGCGGAACTGCTCAACTTCCTAAATCTGACTACCTTCACCCGAACAAAACCCCCGGAGCCTTGAAAGACATCCTGACCCCTGGAACGGATGATTCTTATGCCTTAGCCCAGAAAAACGGACTTGAGCCTGGTTCCCGTCTTCCCTTCATCCTAGAGAGGGTAGCAGCGTCAAAAAGCCGCCACAATTGCTGGTGGACTCTGGAGAGGCTGGACTTCTCCCTATCACCAGACCAGAGTAGCGAGAGCCACAAAAGGCCATTTCCCCCTCTACTGTCCCTTGAAAGCTAGTCTCCCCATATCACAAGCCCCTGATACTGAGTGGCGACCTGGTGGGAGGCTAGGAGCAGCTTGCTTCCAGCAAGCCCTCTCCTGCTTTTCAGTAGCGTTAGGGACTCGGTTCCCTGTAATTGCCACCAGCATGAAGGGACTTAGTGATTCAGTGCCAAGATTGGAGAAAAGACAAGAAACTATCCTTTCAGCCCTCCGCCCTTAGTCAATCCCACACACCATGCAGTTGAAGGGCAGATTTGAAAAGTTGGTCAGAATCTCACCCATGCTGAGGTGCTTCACGGGGTGTGTGTGGTTCTGATGTCAGGCAGAGAAAAGAGGGGGGTGTGGGGGAAGTCCGGGACTTCAGCGGGGTAAATGGGGTTTGAAGCCCCATGGCCATTTTTCTAGGTAGTGAGCACCTTTTCCTCAGGCATTGAGGGGGTAAAGTGGGGTAGTGGGGCATTTAGGAGAGGATATGAATGAGATATGGTCCCAAAGTCCTGAGTGGTTGTTTTCTTCCCACTGACCAAAGCTGGAGAGGGATCCCTCAGGAGGGTGTGCTCCGGATTTCTTGCCTCAGGCCCAAGACTCCAACCATTTTATAATGGAATCTTTATTTTGTGAAAGTAAGTATGTACATAGCTGGGCACTTGGGTAAAGTACTAATAGGTGGAATTTAGGGATGGATTTCAGGGTCTGTCTCTTTCTCTATTCCATAATTAGGCCTGTGTGCGCACGCACATCCATGCATGTTCATGCTAGAGAGAATGTCTGAGGCTCTCTCTGTCCGTCTGTCTCTGTCGGTGTGTGCTCTTTACGTTCGTCTACATATGTGATGCGTGTCTGTGTATCTGTCTGTCTCCGTGGGATTTTATTTCACCTTTATGTTTGTGCAGAAGATTGTGGGGAGGAGGGATTTTGTTTGGTTTTGTTTTAAAGACATGACGCCTAGCCTCAGGTGTGCCATCTGAGTCTCAGAAGCAGACATTCCACTCTCAAACCACCTTTTCTCAAAACCATTTGTCAATGCACCCAGGTGAAATGTGAGCGTAAACTGACTGCGTACCTATCAGAGGATCAGCAGGTGGCCAATGAACTTTGCTCAGAGTCAGAGCAGCTAGGCGGCTCTCTGCAGTCGCCCATTTCTGGCTGCATTTAAAAAGTGGTCATGACCCCAGCTTTCCCATACCAAGACCCCAAAACTGGAACTCCCAATTGGCCGTGTAAGGGGTGGTTAGGAACAATGTCTGCTTAACATCTATCTGCAGGCCGAGAGCCCAGTTCTGCCACTACCAGCACTGTGGCCTCTTGCAATTTACAGCACTTCGTTTGTGCCTCAGTGTGCTCATCTGCAAAGTGAACCCACTTCCTAGGCTTGTTTTCAGGAGTAAAGGACCTTCACTGAAAACACATAGGAGAATGCCTGGCACCGATAAAGTACTCAAGGACTGTTAGCTGCTGTCGTTACTATTACTATTATTATCATTAGCTTCAGGGACCATTCCAGCTGCCCTTCCTGCAGATCCCGAACCTGGTGTTGGGGGCTCCGGAGAGGAACAGTCGGGAAGACCGTCTGTCTTGAACCGCCTCCCTCCTGAGGCCCCTATTTTCCTCTGGGCCCTGGCCCGCCCAGCCCCAGCCCTGCTTCCTGCGGACGTCAGGCAGTGATGCTCTTCCCCTCAGGCCTAGATAAAGGTAGGGTGGGCAAGGCCCAGCCACTGAGCTCGCGGAACTCGGCCGTCGGGGCACAAGGTATGATGTTGCCGATGGCACTCCAATGTGGCTATCCAAAGAATGGTGGTCGAGTTAAACTGCGGTCTATAAAGATGAGGCAGTGGACAGTGAGTGGCGGTGGCGGCTCCAGCTTCACCTGCCATCTTGTTCTTTCCTCCAAGGTAGCGGGGACTCGTCTCTGGAGAAGGAGTTCCTCGGGGCCCCAGTGGGGCCCTCTGTGAGCACCCCCAACAGCCAGCACTCTTCTCCCAGTCGCTCGCTCAGTGGTAAGTGTACCTGCCTCCCCCTCCTGTCCCTGGACACCCCCTTTGCTTTGGGCCCTTGATTCAGTGCCCCTTGGCAACCATCTCCCCCATCTTTGCTTCACTCTGGTTTCCTGCCTAGTGTTTAAAAAGCCTGAAGGAGCCCAGTGCCCAGGTTTCTGGCTTGTGAGAGGAGCCGAAATGGTCACTGCTGGACTAGGGTGGGATTAAAAGGGCATGGATGGGATGAAGGTAAAGGCTCCAAGGGAAATTCTAGAGTAGAGAAGCAGGTAGCTAGAAAGACGCCATAGCTGGAGCTAAACAGGAAATAGAGAGTATAAGGACCTCTTCGTATCCCCCTGCCCATTCTCCTGCCCAGACTGGGTCCCTGGGACTGCCCCTCCCCAGCTGGCCCTAGATCTGTGACATTCTCTAAATGGTTGGAATAGCCAGGAATGTAGGTCAGAGCCAGAGCCAAAGCCTTCTCCTCAGTGACTCCTCCCTCCTCCTCTCTCCCCCTCCAGGAATTTTATGGAGGGAGAATGGAGGGGTTCAGTATCCTGGGGTAGGAGGGTAATGTGAATCATGTCTGTCTCCCAGGTTTGCTCTCTCTTAAGCCTGCTGTCCCTTCAGGCTCCCTAGGACTATTTTCCCGCCACTGTTAACTTGCTGGCTTCCTGCCCAGGGCCAAGTCGGGCATCTTTCTTAATGACAAGAGAGTAGAGAAAGAGGCTCCCCTTAGCTTCCTTCTATCCCCAGTGACAGAAGCCATCCTATGTACCCCAGCTTGGTTTTCTTGGAGGCAATTTTCTTAGTGGGTGGGAGAGAAGGAGACGGTTGCTTTCGGACCCAGTACGACCTCAATACACTGACCTAGAGTATTGGCTCATTTTAAGGCCTAACCGTTTCAGGGCTTAGCGGGCACCTTCTAGACTTCAGGAGTGCCGCTCTGGCTTGGGAGCAAGTTCCCCTCTCTCTCTTGTCTCTGTGCTAAACACCAATCCACTCCCTAGCCAACTCCATCAAGGTGGAGATGTACAGCGATGAGGAGTCGAGCCGACTGCTGGGGCCAGATGAGAGGCTCCTGGAGAAGGACGACAGTGTGATTGTGGAAGACTCCTTGTCGGAGCCCCTGGGCTACTGCGACGGGAGTGGCCCAGAGCCTCACTCCCCTGGTGGCATCCGGCTGCCCAATGGCAAGCTCAAGTGTGACGTCTGTGGCATGGTGTGCATCGGCCCCAACGTGCTCATGGTGCACAAGCGCAGCCACACTGGTGAGTCAGCCGACGGGCTCAGGGCAGCAGGGGTGAGAGGCCTTGCTGAAGGAGGCGTCAGTCGCTGGGAGCGGGGTGGCCTCAGGAAGGGAAAGGCTCCTCCCTGCCCCCCAGCAGTTTTTGGCTAATAAAATAAAAGGGGGCTTGGAACTTAGACACTCCTCAGCACCTTATTTCCTGGGCCCTTTCCTCAGTTGTCATTAGCTGAAGAATGAGTAAGAATTTGTCTCAGGACACGGGGCTGGGGAAAGTGCCTGCCCTGAGAAAGGTCCTGGTTATTGTTTGGGCCCTCTCACCTCACGGGGAAGAACAAGGAAGGCAGATACATCTCTCCCCAGCTTCCCCAGCTGTGGACTTCCAGAGCAGAGTGGGCCCTGGGGGGGCTCTGCTTTGGGTAAGGGTCTTCTGGCCCAGTGTTCTAGGCCTGCTAGCCTCCTCCCCGCCACGCCTTACCAAGGGATCTTGACCTCAGGGGAGCTTGATTAAAGAGGATTTGTTTGCACGGCTCAGCACACACATTTCTGTCCCTCAGAAACGTGTTCAGAAATGTGTGGCGCAGGGCCGAGGGCGGAGGACGGGGCTCAGCCTTCAAAGGCCCTCACACCCAGTCTCCTGGGGTCTGATCTTTGACTTGCAGGCGAGAGACCCTTCCACTGCAACCAGTGTGGTGCCTCCTTCACCCAGAAGGGGAACCTGCTGCGCCACATCAAGCTGCACTCCGGGGAGAAGCCCTTCAAATGCCCCTTCTGCAACTACGCCTGCCGCAGGCGGGATGCCCTCACCGGTCACCTCCGCACCCACTCGGGTCAGTGACCATGCCACGGGGAGACAAGAGAGAGAGAGCCCCCCACAGCCAGCACTTAGGGCTCAGGGATCCTTCTCCTCTCTCTGGGGAGAGCACAGAGAGAACAGAAAGAGGGTCCTCCTCCTCTAGCCCCTTTCCAATTCCCAGGGCTGCAGGGTCCCATGGGGAACAGTGGGGGCACTTTAGGTCTGCCTCACTCTGTGACTGGAGCAAAAGGAGCATGAACAACAGCCTTGCCTGTAACCGTCACCCTCCCTGACTTTGGCTTTTTAAAGTTATCAGTGCCCCTTCCCCGCTACTTCTGAGCCCCAGGGAAATCCTCCTGCTCCAAGCCCACTCCTGCCCTCACCTTCACCCTCTGTCCCTGACACTGGGCTCACAGCAGCCCAGCCCATTCCCTCCTGCTGGTGCCTGCAAGCTGGGTCAAGGGTGCAGAGATAGGAAAGAGAGTGTCCACTTTCTGTGCCACATCCAAGCGTGATAAGTCCAGAGGGTGCCTGGAGGGGAGTGTTGGGACCAGGGCCGAGCCGGCCCTGGAGAGCGTGAGTGGCATTAACGAGGCTTTCCATTTCACCCAGGACCGTTGATCAATATCTGGGCAGAGAGCACTGTTCAGGCGGTTACTGAGTTTAAAGCTTTCGGCTGGGACTTGGGAAGAGGCCAGAATCTGAGCTGGCAGGCAGGAGGCAGCCTGAGATTGGGGAAAGGCAGGAAGAAGGGGAAAGGGGAGAGAATTAGTAGCTTCTACCCTTGGAGAGTTTTCTTACTATTTTTCTCTTTTCTTAAACTCCCCTGGGCCAGGTTTTAAGGGGCAGCATAATCCCCTGACTACCGCACTCTCCCGGCAGCTCTTGGATTCTAGGTTTTCTTACCTCTTTATATGTATGTGGAGAAACAGCATAAATTCATGTTGGATAACATACAAAGCTTTTTGCTTTTGTTACCTCATGCTAGCCTTATAAAACTCCAAGGTAGATGTTATTATCTCTATTTTGCTGATAAGGAAACTGAAAGAAATGTTTTTAAAAGCTTGCTGGCCACCAAGCCAAGCTGTTCCTCCTTGGGGCCCAATCCAGAGCCATTGCCTGCGGCTGGCACTCTTTTTCCCCAGAAGAGGGGCGGCTCCCCCTGTTGGTTTAGAACAGGGATGGCTAGGCTTCTAAACTTCCTACCAACAAAAGTGAAGCAGAGTGTCCTGTGGATGATTATTAGTGGCAGAAACAAGCACATAGACTCCTGGGGCCTTCTGTCCAGTACAACCCAGACAGTAAAACGCGGGCCAAGGTCACGCCCGGTGCCAGCCTGCGGAGTCAGCCCTCTCCAAGGTGTAAAACCATGTCCCCGAGGGTCGTGGGCAGATGGAACCATGGTGCTCATCCCTCAGGGTGACCGAGCAAAATGGCAGCGGGTGACGTCCGTGAACGTCCAGTTGAGGGAGGGAGGGTAGTAGAGACCCCTTCCCCTGTCTCCCTGTTCAGTAGAAGATACATAAAACGTACAACACATTTGTTTCTCTTCAACGCTTTTCTCTCACAGATGTTCTCTCAAGAGCCGTCTTTAAGGGACATGTCCATCCCCGCTTCCCCCGTTATGTCTCCTTCAGTGGCCATGAGATGCATACTCTCCATCCTTTATGAAATGGGGGGGGGCCTTGAAGGTTCTTCCTTTCTCTCTATTTTTTTATTTATCCAAAATGGGTTTATTAGAATGGCTTTCCACTCATCTCGATTCAGGGTCTTTTAGTGCTGCTTCCGTCTGAAGGAGCTTCCTTCTGTGAGCCTTGCTTTTCCTCCTGTAGGCTGACAGAGGACAGTAGAGCAGCCAACACACAAAATGACTGTTTGTGCATGGCTGAAGACCGTGGTGATTTTATAGCAGCCTGGGCATTTGACGTCCATGAAGTAGGAATTGGGGCTCTGCACCAGGCGCTTCTTCTTGTGTTTCCTCTTCTCCTCTTCGGGAGAGGGATGAAGGAGGTCCTTTGCGAGAGGCATGATCGCCGGGCGGTTGTCAGCGCCGGAAAGCGGTTCTTCCTTTCTCTTCTACTTTTCTCTCTGTTCGTGTATTCTTGTCCTCCTCTCAGAACTTCTCTGTCAGTGATGGTTTTCTGGGGATCTCTTGGTACCTTGGTGTAAAGAGAAGTGTAGATAGACAGGAGAAGCAGGACATCGGCAGGAAGCCCAGACTAGGGGTGGAGGTCAAAGTATAAGGAAAGGTCAATGAAAAACGGCTGCTTTCCACATTGGCAGATCTAAAGGTTCTTGTTTCTGTCACCCCAGGCCACCAACTCCCCCCACACACAATCAAAACAGATCATTTATGAGCAAAAAAATCCCCTTGTCTGATAAACAGCACTCACACCCACCTGCCACATGGAAAGGTTAAACCACAGCCCAGGGCCCCAGACTCAGCTATTCTGGGGTGGGGCCAGCCTGCCTGCCAGGGACCATCTCCGACAAAGTCCCTGGGTCTTCACTTCCCCTCTTGACGCTCAGCACCCACCCAAAGCCCCACGATCCCCTTCTCCGCCGATCCCCTTCTCCGCCCATCGTTGCACATGAGCTCTGTTCTCCAGTCTGGGTCACGACCCCAGAAAAGCTGGGGAAGGGAGACAACCTGAAGCATTCCATGTAGTGCTGTCTCTTCCTTCCCCAGCCAGGGCACTTTCACTTTGCGGTGGCGGGACCCAGGGACCAGGGACAAGTAACTCCGATGCCGATGCCGTTTCTCCCCTCTCTCCCCCATAGTCTCCTCCCCTACAGTAGGCAAGCCCTACAAGTGTAACTACTGTGGCAGGAGCTACAAACAGCAGAGTACCCTGGAGGAGCACAAGGAGCGGTGCCACAACTACCTGCAGAGTCTCAGCACTGAAGCCCAAGCGCTGGCTGGCCAGCCAGGTACAACTGTGGGCAGAACAAGGAGGGATGTGAGGGAACACAGGAGAAGAGCGATTCCAGCACTCCCCCGCCCCCCTCCTGTCCCCAGAGGGATAAGGGCTCTGAAGTAGGAGACAGTCACTGAGTAAATTCGTCAAGCACCTGGCTGCAGGCCCACCTGGTTGAAAGGCCTGTGGTAGGTGTTTTGAGGGCCTCCCTAGGTAGGGTAAGACATGATCTGTGTCTCCAGTGTAATAAGAGAGAGAACACAAGGATGTATAACATCAAAGGTCCAGTGTATATCTTAAATGTGTAAGAGCTCTGGTGCCATAGTGGGTTATGCGTTCCGCTGCAAACCACAAGGTCAGCAGTTCGAAACCACCAGCCACTCTGTGGGAGAAGGATGACCCTTCTTACTTCCGTCAAGAGTTACTGTCTCTGAAACCTACAGAGGCAGTCTGCCCTGCCCATAGGGTCACTAGAAGTCAGAACTGACGAAGTGGCAGCCAGTGTGTGTTTGAATCTTAAACGTGACTGGGATGAGCGCGCAGTAGGGCAAGCAGAGCCCAGTTTTGCAGGCAGAGGCCGTGACCATCCTTGGCTCTGACCGTCCAGAGGGCCTGTGCCAGCCCAGTTCAGCGCTACAAGTCTGTGCCCACCTCCTCCCCACCAGGTGATGAGCTGCGCGACCTGGAGATGGTGCCAGACTCCATGCTGCACTCTTCCTCTGAGCGGCCAACGTTCATTGATCGTCTGGCCAACAGCCTCACCAAACGCAAGCGATCCACCCCCCAGAAGTTTGTCGGTAAGAGCCCAATTGGAGAGGAGGCATCCCCTGTAAGCCACAGCTCCACTGAGTCTGAGCACTGGTAATCATTCAGCAGCTGGGCCTGGGTACTTGATGGCGAAAAGAAAGGTCTGGTGCTCGGGCGGAGGAGGGAGGCTGTACCTGGAGAGGGTGGCACGGAGCTGGTGTTGAGGACGTGTGTGGTGGCTGTGAGAGCATGGGAGCCGGGCCTCTCCCCTTTGAGAAGAGCAGGCTCTGTGGGCTGCAAGAAGAGCCACGAGAGCCGGAGAAAGACCGTGAGGGCGGGTTGCCCCACCTAGTCCCGCTCCTGAGCTCTCAACGAAGGAAGGCCCCCACCACCACCAGAGCTTTGCAGTCCTGAGCCCTTTTCTGAGGTTGCCCATGAGACCGGGGAGCAGCCCCCACCCCCCCCCAGCCAGCCTGCTCAGAGGTAGTCCTGAGGGGGTGCTGCAATCTTGGAGAGCAGCCCTGCTGAGACCCGCTTCTCCACAGGTGAAAAGCAGATGCGCTTCAGCCTCTCAGACCTCCCCTATGACGTGACCTCGGGGGGCTATGAGAAGGATGTGGAGCTAGTGACACACCATGGCCTGGAGCCTAGCTTCGGAGGGTCTCTGGCCTTTGTGGGGGCGGAGCATCTGCGCCCCCTTCGCCTCCCCCCTACCAGTTGCATCTCAGAACTCACGCCCGTCATCAGCTCTGTCTACACCCAGATGCAGCCCCTCCCCGGCCGACTGGACCTCCCGGGGTCCCGAGAAGCCGCAGAGGGCCCGGAGGACCTGGCTGATGGCGGGCCCCTGCTCTACCATGCTCGGGCGCCCCTGACTGACCCTGGGGCATCGCCCAGCAATGGCTGCCAGGACTCCACAGATACAGAGAGCAACCATGAAGATCGGGTTGGGGGGGTGGTTTCCCTCCCTCAGGGCCCCCCGCCCCAGCCACCTCCCACCATTGTGGTGGGCCGGCCCAGTCCTGCCTACGCCAAAGAGGACCCCAAGCCACAGGAGGGGCTGCCACGGGGCACTCCCGGCCCCTCCAAGGAAGTCCTTCGGGTGGTGGGTGAGAGTGGCGAGCCTGTGAAAGCCTTCAAGTGTGAGCACTGCCGAATCCTCTTCCTGGACCACGTCATGTTCACCATCCACATGGGCTGCCACGGCTTCAGAGACCCTTTCGAGTGCAACATCTGTGGCTACCACAGCCAGGACCGGTATGAGTTCTCTTCCCATATCGTCCGGGGGGAACATAAGGTGGGCTAGTGACCTCTGCTCCCCCCCACCCCCAGGCCATCACTTGACTGCCCTCTACAGGTGTCTAGCTTCATCCTCACCACAGGCCCCCCTCTTCCCCCAGGAGTTTTGCTTTCAACACCCCCGCTGGCTACCTGACCTCACCCCCGGCCAGCTCCCTCCTCATGTCGTCCTCTCTACGTAGGCTCTCGTGATGAGACAAGTCTTTTGCTTATGTTTCCTTGTTTTTCTCTTCTCCTTTCCTAGCATACTCGGCGGAGTTATTTATTAAGATCATTAGTTGGTTCTTATTGTTGCCTTTCTTTAAATGCGTGCTGGTCCCTTGCCACGCTCCCAGCCTTCCCACAGCGCCCTTCCACTTGGGCCTACATTTTCTCTTTGAGCCAGTTTCCTTCAGCAGCCCCTCTCAACAGTAGGAGACCTTGAGCTGCTTCTTGCTGTCAGTCCTCACCCTTTACACCCTCTGCTTCTTCCCTGTGGCGCGGACACCTCCCCCGGCCCTGCCTCAGCTCTGTGGCATGAGCTTCTCCTCTCTGGGACCCTCCCGCCTGGTACTCTGTACCTCTTATGCCCTCTCACCTTGGCAGCTTGCACTATTCTTGAATGAATAAAAAAATCTCATTTGGAAATAGGAGGGACTTAAGAAATCCCACCCCCTTGGGCACCATGGACTGAGGGTCCTCTGATAATCCCCTAAGAATATGAATTCCCAAAGCCCACATTCAGGCTCTCCCTCTGGGATGTGGATGTGGTGTCTCTTCCCTCGGTCCTGCTCTAGCCTCCTCGGCCTGCCCCACCTTCTCAGTGGTGGCCGTTCTTTCCGTGGAATGCCCCCATTTTATATCCTCAGGGGCCCGAGGCTAGTCTGCAACCTCTCTCTCTCTGACACACTGGGAGCCACAGGTGCCTAACTGGGAGCCAGGGCATGGGAAGGGGGTGGGGCAAGACTTTTCTCGTCCTCCTCCACCTTGCAAACCTCTTCACTCCAGTGACCTTTTTAGTCTCTCGGGGTGCCTTTAGCCCCCACCCTAAGCTAGCAGGTTGCTGCCTGATTACAAGGGGGCACCTCAACCCCTTAGTCAGGCTGCCTTCTTCCTTCCTCCCCCACCCATTCCAGCAGGACGCACCCTCTCACTCCTGGACTCCCAGGCCTGGTTCTTTGAGTCAATGGCTGGGAGAAAAGGGTCTATCTTTTCTCTCCTCTAATTATCAGTGTAACCAAAAAGTATCCCCAGATGCGCAAGGGCACATGCCCCGACCCCATTCCACCCTTGTCCCAGCATGACTGGGCTAGGCCCGAGGGGGCCAGGGTCATCCTTTACTGCTTCCTTCTTTGCTCCACTCCCAGGTAGAGGGCAGGAGGGGCACTCTCCCCCTGGCAACTGCAGAGATCTCTGGCTATCTGGGTACCCCAGGGTTAGTGAGAAGGGGGCAGGAGGAGGCATAATTCCCCTACAAGTGGAGGTCTCTCTCCACAAGAGTTCCCTGCCCAAGGCCACTGCCATCCCACTCTCTGCTTCCCTGAGATTCAAACCAAAGGCTGTTTTTCTATGTTTAAAGGAGAAAAAAAATAAAGAAAAGAAAGAAAAAAAAAGTAGAAACCAAACATAACACCTCACAAGTTGTTAGCACTTGGTCCTTTCTTCTTTCTCCCTTCCTCTTCCCATCTTCCTCTCCACACACCCTTCCCTCGTTGGCTCTTTGCCTCCTGCTTCCCTCACTCCCTATCAGGGATATTTTGGGGGGATGGTAAAGGGTTGGCTCAAAACAGACCCTTGGATTGGGGCTCTTAAGGGCTCTGGGAGGAATCTGCCTTACCCTCTTATGGGAAAGGAGACCCTGAGCTTCTCTTCCTCCTCCTCCTTTCCTCCCCATTGATGTGATCTCCCCAAGGAGAACCAGATTGGCAGGGAGGGGCACTGTGGGTGATTGTTCTCCCTTGACAACATAGCAATAAACACATGCTGCCAAGGGCAAAAGGATGGGGGAGGTAGTCAAAAGAGGGTGGTCTCTGGAGGAGCAAAAAGTCTTCTCCATAGCACCCCAGGGTGCGGGCTCTTTGTTTTAGGGTGGCAGTCGAGCTGAGGTGACTGACTGGGGTTCTCCTGCACTGTTCTAGCTATTGACCCTCTTCCTACTAGGTCTGTCCCCTACCACCTCTGCTGTGTCTGCTATGTACTAGGTGGCACCTCATAAGGAGGAGTCCTTCCCGGTTATCAGAGCTGCAGAGGGTCCTGATCCCCCCAACCTCCTGTCAGTTCTGGCACCTGGAATGGCCTGGAACTTGAAGGGCTGTGCCTGGAGGCTATCCCTGGGCCCACAAGAACAGAGACAGGAAGGGCAAGACCAGGTGCTAAGGAGGAGTGAGGGGGCACTCTGTCTCTCTCCAGACCATCACTGCACTTTAACCAGGGTCTTAGGTACAAAATCCTACTTTCCAGAGCCTTCTCACTCTGGAACTTCCAACATCCTCACCTTCTCTCCCAGCTCTTTTTCATAAAAAAGGAAAAAAACATAAACAACAAACAAACACTGAAACCCACCCAGAGAAAAGAGGTATTTTCATTTTATACTGATATTCAAAAACACCACACACCCATACACACACACACAAACACATACAAATACACAAATACACAAACACATCACGCAAATTTCTAAATAGACACTTTCCCAGACCTTTGTTTTTTCGTGTCAATGTCCAAGCTGCGGGTGGGATTTCGTAACACTTCTGGCAGCTCCTTTCCTGTGTACATAATACATAATATATATATATATTTTTAATCAGAAGTTATGAAGAACAAAAAGATAAAACAAATAAGACACACAAGTAAGTGCAATACCACCTCTCTTCTCCCTCTCCCAGGGTCTCCGTTGTAGCCCAGGCTTGGTGTCTCCTTTGATCCTCACCCTGTTCACTCCTCTCTTCTTCTGGTTCCCAGCCCTTTTCTTACAGAGTTTTCCTCCTCTCTCTATGGGAGTTAAACTAGCTTTTGAGACTTATGGCAAAGCATTTTGTATATGTAATATATTGTAAGTAAATATTTGTGTAACGGAGATATACTACTGTAAGTTTTGTACTGTACTGGCTGAAGGTCTGTTATAAATAAACATGATTAATTTAAGACCCCTGGTTGTTTTTGCAGACTTCCTTGGCCTAGCTTTTCTGCTGGGTGCAAGGGAGGGTCTCCTTGCCGCTTGTTGTGCCAGCTACTAAACAGTGCAGGAGGTGGACAAGGGAGACCCTGAGCATTTCTCCTCCTTCTCCTAAGACTGAGGGAAGCCAGCCAGGAGTGCTCTCAAGTTGTTCCTAGAGAAGGTTACCCCAGAGGGTTAGCCCAGGAGAAGAGGAAGAGAGTTTCCTACCAGGAGTGGGTCTGCAGGATAGGAAAGAGCCTGGCTGGCCTATCCGCCCAAAGCAGAGAGCCCTCAAACATTTGTTGAGGGCCTACTATGTGCAAAACACATTATATACTTAAAAGATCTAGGTTACAAGAACATGAGTGGTGATATAATAGGGTCTGCCACTTCCTGAGCATCTCATAGCTGCTAGGCATTCTCCCAAGTCTTCTCTTCTTAGTAGAAACAACCTGCAAAGGCATGTTCACTATTACTGGTGAAGAAATAGAAGCCTCAGAGGAAAGAAAGAAACAAACAACTTGTCCACAGGCCATCATCCACTAAGTGCCAGAGACAGTGTCTGATCGCAAAGCCTATGCCCATCCGTCAGTCTAGGGAAGGCAGCCTGTGAAACCGCCAGGCTATAAAAAATCCCAAGCAAAGCCAGGACCAGAAAATCAACTTGGTTCTAGCTTAAATATTAACTTTTCTGTCCCTTTAACGCTGAAATGTTGGGCCTTTTATCTATTCATTGCCATTCTATACGGTAATATGTCTTCTGTTTTCCATCAGACTACAAACCAAAACCTCACTGCCATTGAGTTGATACCGACTCACAGTGACCATATAGGACAGAGTAGAACTGACCTGGTAGGTTTCTGAGAGTATAATTCTTTATGGGAGTAGAAAGTCCCACCTTTTTCCCTCTGAGTAGCTGGTGGTTTTGAATTGCTGATCTTGCAGTTAGCAACCCAACCCTTGACTACTGTGCCCCCAGGGATCCTCCACCAGATTACCATGAAGTGAAACAATGGAGACACTCCCATCTAGAATCTTATCATTTTCCACAGCCCCTAAAATGAACATTTGCCTATGAGAAACCATGAATATGGTTGACTTGGTGTCAATGAAAGTGAGGAAATCGATCTTAAACCCCAATGATGTGAACTGGAAGTTGAGATCCATGATGGAGGGAAGGTGAATCTAGTGTGTCCGTCTCTAGGATGATCCATTTGTACCAATTTGGATTTGAATGCTGCTGGGTCTCTTTGCAGCAGGTCAACTCACATCTCCAACATTATAGACAAGTCAGTGATTTGCTGCCTATTGATAACTACTACTGCTCAAGGCTAAGGAATTCCTGGTGGCTCTTCAGCGGTGAATCGGTTTAAATAGTAGGTAGACTCATCTGTGAGTGGTGAAATCTTTTTAGTGGGTCTTGACCCAAGATTAAAACAGAGAACAGAACCAGCACACTTTTAGGTTGTCGAGGCAAGCTGTGTTTTCTGAAGCTTGACAGTTTTGCATGTGTATTTGTATAAATTGCATGTTGTTCTTGTGTCCTTATGTGAAATATATATCTATTGTGTGTCTGGATCAAAAACCAAGAAAGTCATCGATCCAACCTATTCACTTGTTAGCCGAAGAGGAGAATAGTATAGTGAAGCTGGAAGACAGAGCAAGTCATTTAAAGTCTGTGCACGTATGGTTTTCAGTCTGTAAAGCGAGAATAATAACACTGCTTACCTCAAAGGTTTGTTAAGGAATAAACACATTTATAAAGCGCTTATCACTGTGCCTGCCACTGAGGATACAAAGGTTGAATGATAAACAACGCCAAAAAAAAAAAGAGAAACAACGCCAACACGAATTCACTTCTCTGTGGTCCCACCTTGTGGGATTAGCTCCTTATTGAAAGGAGGAATGGACAAAATGTTTTGTTTCCTCCCAGATCTTCCGTTTCCAAATCCCACACAAATAGCTGGGATAACAGAGAAATCACCCGAGGGCGTCACCCGGTGGCGTCGCACAACCTTGGGTTTAAAGACTTGGGCCCGGGACCTCACGGTTTCGCACTACAACTCCCACCATGCACCTCTTCTCATCCGGCCTCTCATTGGAGAGAGTTCTACAACTTCGCGATGAACAACTTCCGTACCTAGTATCGCGATGAGCGGTTACCCTAAGCCTCAAAATTACTTCCGGGTTAGGGCGTTGCAGTGCATGCTGGGAATCAAGTCACAGTAATCTTCTTCCGCCATCCGGTTAAATAGTCCCATGGTTTTCTTGTTCTACGAATAAATAAGCTCTGGAAACGTCTTTCCACCCTAAATTTCAACGGATGTAATGAATGATAAAGAAAACTCAAGTAAAACGAAATGCCATGCTTGGCGTCGTCTCCTCGGGATTCTTCCGCTGTGGGCGTAGGGATCTCGCAGTATATAAGATGGGCAGATCTAGCGCCGCCCTTTCTCTCGAGTCCTCGCTTCCGAGATGGTGAGCTGAGGCGCGTGGCGATCCGCGTCGGGGCCGGGAAGTTTAGCTTCTGGGGTGGTGGGAACTTGAGGCTTCGAACTGGAGGGGACGGGAACTTACGTCTATTTCTGGGGTTGGTGGACCGGGAGGGCTGAGTGGCGTCTAGCTGGGAGCTGCGGGCGCGGGCCTAGGGTTGTCCGCCTTACCCCCCCCCCCATCACAATTTGCCTTTTTCCCTCAGACAAAGAAAAGGCGAAACAACGGCCGTGCCAAGAAAGGCCGCGGCCATGTGCAGCCCATTCGCTGCACCAACTGCGCCCGCTGCGTGCCCAAAGACAAGGCCATCAAGAAGTTCGTCATAAGGAACATAGTGGAGGCCGCGGCCGTCAGAGACATTTCCGAAGCGAGTGTCTTCGACGGTAAGTGCGTAGTACTTTTGCGACACCCGTCACCCTCGGGCACCTAGTCTTGTCAGTTGGGTTCATTCCCGCGCCCCTGCGGAGTACGAGAATGTTGGGAGAACAGACAGTTGTCATGACCCCCATTTTGGCGTTTTTATTCTAACTGTACAGCCTTTACCTGGACTTTCAGTCTGGTCTGGACCTTACCGCATGTTAGGGGGAGCCTACTAGCCTAGTGGTTAGATACTGGGCTGCGATCCGCATGGTGGGTAGTTCTAAGCGGCAGCAGCTCGACGGGAGAGTGGGCTTGAATTAGCATTGACTGTGACAGTGAGCTTGGGGCTTGTTTTGAGGTTTTTTGGTATGTTGCTTGTTGCCATCTAATTGATCTTGACTCTTAACCCCATGCGAGTGGAGAACTAACTCCCCGCCCCCCTAGGATTTTCTAGCCTGTGATCTTTAGCAGGTTTTCAGCTCTCTCCCTCGTGGTGTTCAAACCATCAACCATTGGGTTGACTTTGGGCCACCAGGGCTTCTGGACTAGTCCCATTTGAGAGGCTAAGGTGTGGTGCTAAGGCCCAAGGAGCATTTGGTAGAAACCTTTTTTTTATTTTTTTATTTGAAAATCTTTAGTCTTTTAAACTAGCTAAGTGGGCAAGGATAGTCTTTAGAGCAGTGATTCGCAACCCTCCTAATGCCATCACCCTTTAATACAATTTATTACATTGTAGTGACCCCACCCCAACCGTAAAATTATTTTCATTGCTACTTCATACCTGTAATTTTGCTACTGTTAAGAATCAGGTGGGCTCTTGTCCAAGACGGTGCACGCAGTTAAGCACCTGAGGACTTGAGCCCTGGCTTAAGCTAGCATAATAAAACCTCTTCTGTAATTGCAAAAAAAAAAGAATCAGGTGACCCCTGTGAAAGGGTCGTTCGGACCCCAGGTTGAGAGCCGTTGCTTTAGAGCAATATAATGCGGTTTTAATTCTATTGAACTTTTTGTTTCTCCCCAGATTCTTTTATTGGGGACTCTTACATCCTCTTATCAGTCCATACATTCTTTTTCTAACTTTAAATTGTAAAGTAGCTGTATTAGCTAATGAACAAAGACAGACTCTTGCAAGTGGGAATAATACCTATACTATTTTTTTCTCCAGCATATGTGCTTCCTAAGTTGTATGTGAAGCTGCATTACTGTGTGAGTTGTGCCATTCACAGCAAGGTGGTCAGAAACCGGTCACGTGAAGCCCGGAAGGACCGAACCCCCCCACCTCGCTTTAGACCTGCAGTGAGTATCTTTACAGTGAGGGGTGTAGGTGCTAGAGGGATGGATGGGTGGTGGGTAAAGAGACAGTTGGTCTCTGACAAAGTTGTTGCTGTGGAATTCATAGGACAGAATAGCCCTGTAGTTTCCAGAGCTGTAAACGTAGCAGACTATCAGATTTGATGCACTCTCTCTGGTGGGTTCAGACTTAGTGCTGCTGAGCCCTAGCCACTGTGCCACCAGGGTTCTTTACTGAGGGGCTGGAGCATCAAGTTGCCTGTGGGTGAGGGTGTGAATGTAGTGGTTTTTCAAGTCTGTTCACGTAAAGAACAAACATTGGTGGCTATCCAAGCTTGCCAGCTTTGGGTGTCTTTTATGGCCCCTATTCTTAGTGGGGGGAACGGTCTTGAACCCATTGCTTTTATTTAGTTACATAATTCTTTTCTTTTAGGGTGCTGCCCCACGACCTCCTCCAAAGCCTATGTAAAGATTAGAAGCTGAAGAAAAACAAACCTGAAAGGAAATAAAATGAAAATTGTTCATGGTATGCTCTGATGTGTGTCTGTAAGATTGGATGGTAAGGGGGTATGGGTGTGTCTGAGGGAATCATGACTTATGTGTAAGCTGCCGTTTTTTTAAAAAACTAGCAAATTGCCCACTCATTGTCTATAATTTTATGGCACTGAATTATACCTGTCCAAAGTTAGCAATATCTCTGAAAGAAAGCATCCGTGCCATAAGTGTTTGTGTAAGAACAGTGGTGCCCTGAATTACCCTTGTGATCCTACAGCTGGTGAACTCTGAATTTGTCAGGCAGTACATAGTATCCATCATTTGGGGGTGGCACAAGGGACAGGGTGGACAGAGGCCTGAGATGAAAATGAATGCTAGACTGATGGTTCCAGTCCCAGCTTGCTCGGTAACCAAACCAAAGTTCACTGCCATTGAGTTGATTCTGATTCTCACACCATAGATAATGACTAAACTGTAGGCACAGCATTGCTTTTCTCAGATCTTAACTGCCTCAAGTTTAGAAACAATCTTTAATACAAAGGGTGCTGATAAGTTTTATTTCCAGGGATTCTACTTTGAGAAGCCTGAAGTCTTTAATAATTGTATATGCATTTCCCCCCAAATTACAGCTTTTGACATTTTGGAGATAAATTTTCCATAGTATTTGTCAGCTCCCAACTTAAGGACCACCTCAACCCATATTCTGATGGCCTCCACTTGCTATCCAAAAGGCCACAAGAAGAAGCTGTCAGAGTGACCTACAGGACAGCTTTCCTTCTGTTGTTCATTTGACTATTAGGAGTCAGGATTCTTGTGGTTGTGAAAACTCCCTGCTGTAGCAATTTTTTCAAATGTACTTTCCTAGGAAAAGTTATTCCATATCCTCTCCTCAGCACCTAATGATAGCTCCAGACTTCATATATGGAAAGATTGAAAAGCTGAAGCCTCTGGGCTCCTGGTGATCCAAGAGAACCGTATAGTGATCTCAAACTTGTCCTTCGCCATTCCTTTACCATTCTAAAACTTGGCAATAGGAGGTTATCACTCACTGCTTTTCACTGTTAGGTTACTGCCATGCTTTAACTTCTAAAAAAATACATAGGTGTGTGTGTGTGCTAAATGACAGCTATGGTGACTGAGCCAATCGAAGAATACGATATATTTGCTCAAATACTAGTTGCTGTGCTTTCTATTCCCATAAGGAGTTTAACCATAATCTTCAAAGCCCCGGGGGATAATTCTACTTTACTTTATAGCAGCAGTTCTCAACCTGTGGGTCACAACCCCTTTGGGGGTTGAATGAGCCTTTCACAGGGGTCACCAGATTCATAACAGCAAAATTAGTTGTGAAGTAGCAACAAAACTAACGAACTGTATGAAAAGGTGGTGGCATTAGGAAGGTTGAGAGCCACTGACTTACAGGGTTGCTGTGAGACAATGCCCTTGAGCAGGGAGTATGTGTTGGCATCTCTGAGTCTGGGTAAACTAGAGAAGCAAATCGACAGAAACTGGCATGTAAGAGTTTTATATAAAGGGTAAGTGTACATTAAGAAAGCATCCCAACCCAGTGATGCCCGAGCCCATAAAAGTCCTCAATCTCACAAAATACAGTTCTTTAAGTGTTGGACAAAAGAACTAACCAAAGAAATTGAACTGCTGTAAATTCTAGCTAAGCAGTCCTATACCTCACCTATCCAATAGGCTAATAAGATAACCTTGAAAAAAAGCCACTGCAGCGGAAACTCAAGCTCCAAACTCGCTGTCATCAAGCTGATGGGACTCTAGCACCTGATGGACTGGAAAACTGTCCATGTGAGGTCCCCAGAATAACGACAGGAGTAGAAAGCCCTGTCTTTCTCCAAGGGAGCAACGACTAGTTTTGAACTGCTGACCTTGCGGTGAGCAGCCCAATGAATAAATGATTACACCACCAGGGGTCTTTTTTGGAAACTGACCCTATGTAGTGTTTCCAAGGCTGTACATCTTTACAAGAGCAGACAGCCTCATCTGCGGAGCAGCTGGTGGGTTTGAACTGCTGGTCTTGGAGTTCACAGTCCATTGTTGATTGAATAGCATCACTGGGGCTCCTGCTAAGGACATTTACAAGGGGTACCCCCCCCAAAAAAAAAAA